AAAAAAGAAGACAGTTCTGTTTTTCATGCTTAGACCCTCCGTACTAAGGAATACTAAGAGAAGGTAAAGCCCTAAGTAAGATGTGGTTACAAAACATGTCCATTTCTTCTTGGTGTTGACTCTGAGCCTTTGTCCCTTGCTTCTACTGCCTCACAAACATCTGGTGTGGATATGGTTGATGGCTTCCTCCTTGGAGGCCCTTCTGCTTTTAGAGAGCTCTCTATCTCTGTTAATTCCAATTGCTCTAAGTTCAGACTTCCCCAGGATTTCCTTAAGTTTCTTTAACTTGAGCACTCTCTTTTCTTAATTACACATTGCTTAAAGGAACTTCCTTGCTCCTTTAAGAACCTGGGTTCTGAGTTATTTTGTCTCTGTATCTTCTGCTGGGCTGCCCTATATCCCAGAAGACTTCTAGATGGAACTGTAGCACTGGTTGATAGAAAAGTATATGCTGTTTACCAATCCATTTTTTTTCTTTTTTTTTTTTGAGACGAAATCTCGCTCTGTCGCCCAGGCTGGAGTGCAGTGGCATGATCTTGGCTCACTGCAAGCCCCGCCTCCCAGGTTCATGTCATTCTCCTGCCTCAAGCAATCCGCCCACTTCAGCCTCCCAAAGTGCTGGGATTACAGGTGTGAGCCACTGCACCCAGCTCTCCCCTGAATGTTGAGTCTCAAAATCCTCTGAACTAAATGGCATTATTCCTGTTATGCAGACAAAGAAACTGAGGCCCTAGAGGGTTCTGATATGAGCAAAAAGAACCAGCACAGGTCACCTCCCCTTCATTCTCTTCCAATAAGTAGTTTTCCATACACTGAAGATTGCCAATAATTGACTTTCTCAGCTTCTGTTTTCCTGACATAGAGCCAAGGTGGTAAAGAGAACACCCACCGGCCAGGCGCGGTGGCTCACGCCTATAATCCCAGCACTTTGGGAGACCGAGGCGGGCAGATCACGAGGTCAGCAGATCGAGACTACGTTGAAACCCCATCTCTACTAAAAATAAAAAAAATTAGCCAGGCGCGGTGGCAGGTGCCTGTAGTCCCAGCTACTCGGGAGACTGAGGCAGGAGAATGGCGTGAACCTGGGAGGCAGAGCTTGCAGTGAGCTGAGATCACACCACTGCACTCCAGCCTGGGTGACAGAGCAAGACTCCGTCTCAAAATAAAAATAAAAATAAAAATAAAATAAAATAAAAAAAAGAACACCCACCATCTTGATAATGCCTGCAAACATGCCGCATCCTGAAGGACAGGGACTGTTTTCTATTCATAGCATTGCCCAGGGCACATCCTAGGAGAATGGTGAAGGCACTGCTGAATTTAATCAAGTAAAAAACTGTCACTTTCCTACCTGCATGTAGAATACCTAAAAAATAGTCTCAGTGCTTACCTATCCACAGCTCTGTCTAGCAAGTAAAACAGAGCCTGAAGTACCACATGTTGGACTGACTTGTGGGGGTTATGCAACCTGGCAGTAAAGAGGGCAATGGAGGCTCCTGTTGGGTCCCGAACATTCTAAAGCAAATAAAACAAGAAACATTTTAAAAAATCAAATAGAAAATCACAGCAATTACTAAGACATACACTGGATAAGGGTTTGATACATGTAGAAAACAGATGTTAAGAATAATTCCCTGACTTCACCAATTGCTCCCCAAAGGGAAGAATGTTAATATCATCCCTTGCCTGATTCTCTCAGGACTCCCTGGACCATATTTCTGTGACAAGAAAAAAAAAACACACATTCTCTTTGCTCTTCAACTGCAGACAGATCAAAGGATGGCTCTGCACCGGCTTCCTAGCTAACTTCCCTGGCAGAATGGCAAAAGAAACAAGCAGCAGCAGAGAACCAGGGAACAGGATCATGATTTCCACCCTCTGCCTTAAAAGTGCCATTGTATGTTTACTTGAAAGGCTGAGGTCTCAACTAAGTGGAGAGCTTGTGTTAAGTATGGAAGCATGGGTGTCTGACACATTGCATACCTACCCCAAAGACCATGATTAACCTTAATGGACCAACTGAAGAAACTTTTCTAAGTCTACTGTACAACTGATTTTCCATAATTTAATTATTCAATTATCATTCATAACTGTAATTACTAGAAACTATTAGTAATTCAGTTGTTACTAAAATAATTTTATACCAAACTGCATGGCTGTTTCACATCTGCTCCTAACTGTGGAGACTCTCTAGATTCAGGATAAGGTATATAGGAACAAAGTCCAAACAGGACACCAGTTAAAAAAGGAAGTAATAAGGCCCTACGAGATAGGGTCCCTAAACACTCACTAAGATGGTGAATTTTCCACTGAGGATCTCAGAACGAAGAGGTTCCTCATGAGGTTTCAGCTTCACAATGCCTTCCTTCCTTCGCGTTTCCTAAAAAGGAAGCATTCCAAAATGTATTAATATGAAAATACTGTATATTCAGGACAGTGCCATGTAACCACCAAATCTCAGAGATAAGGTGGTTATCAGTGAATGAATGAATTATAAATTTTATAACTAAATAAATTTCATAACTAACTCTACTTCATTTAGTTGAACTAGAATTCAACTAAATGGGCTGGGTGCGGTGGTTCACGCCTGTAATCCCACCACTTTGGGAGGCTGAGGCAGGCAGGTCACCTGAGGTCAGGAGTTCCAGACCAGCCTGGCCAACATGGTGAAACCTTGTCTCGGCTATTAGCCTGGCATGGTGGTGCGTGCCCATAATCTCAGCTACTCAGGAGGCTGAGGCAGGAGAATCACTTGAACCCAGAAGGTGGAGGCTGCAGTGAGCCAAGATAGCACCACTGCAACTCCAGTCTGGGCAACAGAATGAGACTCTGTCTCAAAAAAAAAAACAAAAAACAAAAAGAATTCAGCTAAATGAATAATGAAGTCAACTAAATGGATTATGAATTTCTTTGTAACCTGCCTCCAAGCCAGCCAAGCATTTTCAGAATTCCTGTCCAAATCTACTTTATCAGCCCCTCAGGTAGGGTATTTTTCTCTGACTCAGTAAGAATCCTAATCCTAACCCTGAAGAGTAACCAGTATGTTACATTCAGGTGCAGGATCAAGGTTCTTAAACATGCAGCAGCACTGACATGGTACCAGGACACTAAAATATGGACCTGAAAAATGTCTGGACGCATACATCCTCACACATTTTCTAGGTTTAGGCCTCTCCTATGTTTAAATAGGAGTCTTCTCTCCACCTGATATTGTCTCCAACAGCAGCTATGACGACTTCATTTTCCTCACTCTGATGACCAGATTCTTCTTTTTTTTTTTTTCAATCAAGACCGAGTCTCACACTGTCGCCGAGGCTGGAGTGCAGTGGCATGGTCTTGGCTCACCGCAACCTCTGCATCCAAGATACTCTCTTGCCTCAGCCTCCTGAGTAGCTGGGATTACAGGCACATGCCACCATGCCTGGCTAATTTTTGTACAGACGGGGTTTTGCCATGTTGCCCAGGCTGGTCTCGAACTCCGGGGCTGAAGTGATCTACCTGCCTCGGCCTCCCAAAGTGCTGGGATTACAGGTGTGAGCTACCGCACCCTGCCTCTTCAGTCCTCCTCTTAAATGACAAGGTTGACCACTTACATTTCCTTTCTCCAGAGACATTCTCTACCTTTACATATCGATAACAAAAAAAATATTATCTTGGTTTGTCCTATTTCATCAACTGCTTGTTTTTAAACCTCTTAGGCTGGGGACGGTGACTCACGCCTGTAATCCCAGTACTTTGGGAGGCTGAGGTGGGCAGATCACTTGAGCTCCCTCCCTTCCTCCCTCCCTCCCTTTCTTCACAGAGTCTCACTCTGTTGCCCAGGTTGGAATGCAATAGTGTGATCTCGGCTCACTGCAACCTCCACTTCTTTGGTTCAAGTGATTCTCCTTCCTCAGCCTCCTGAGTAGCTGGAAATGTGGGTGCCACTACACCCAGCTAATTTTTGTAGTTTTAGTAGAGATACGGTTTTGCCATTTTGGTCAGGTTGGTCTCAAACCCCTGACCTCAAGTGATCCACCTGCCTTGGCCTCCCAAAGTGCTGGGATTAAAGGCATGAGCCACTGCACCCAGCCCTAGTCTCTCTTTCTAAATAGTAATCTCTGCCCCTGGAACACAGTAAGTATAAAATAAGTATCTGTTGAGTAAATGAATAAATATTGAATGAGTTGGTCCACAACATAGATGTAACCGAACTTCAGTTCAGCTAATCCTAGTGCTTGTTATCCCAGTTGTTTTTTTAGGGAGATTTTGTATTTCTTTAGAAGGATTCTGACCCCAAAGTAACATGCTGTATAGTGTTTTATCAAAGACACTACAAACTGAGAAAGCAAACAGAAGCACAAAACCAAAGTGTGTGCCCCCTCAAAAAACAAAAATCAGAACAAAGTAAAATCCAGATGCCGCTACATTTGCATAAAGATGCTTAAGATAATGGACCTAGCTAATATGCAGTTGCTCTTCTTTTCCAGGGTTAAAACTTCCCTTCCTAAAAAAAATAAAAATAAAAAAATAAATAAAAAACAACTTCCCTTCCTAAACTGCCCACTAAGCTCAGCATTCATCTGAATGGCAAGTTTCTAAAAGCCCTAGACATCCTAAAAACCAACAGATTTTCATGTGGCCAGAGTCCAGTGAAAAGAGCTAGGATTAAAATTCTAGGAAGGGTGAACCCCTGTCCTGCCACCAGGATGCTGTCAGGCTACTTCCTCCATCTCAATCATTAGATGTGGCATCCTGGTGTACAATCAAAACTTAGATACAAAAGTAGTGACTTCCAGCAGCTGCCTTGCCCAGCTTCAGCTCTCACAAAGGCTCCTAGATATGGATTCATTTTTTATGGGAGTGGGGAGGAACACTTAGAGAACCGATGTGTGTCTCGAGCATGATAGGGACAACAGCAACACTTAGCCCAACTGCCACAGGTCTAGTCCACCCCTGAGCAACATACTCTGTAGGAGTGGAACAATTCTATGGCACGGAGCACATCAAACTTCCTTGCCATGAGGAACTTGACAGCCACATTCCAAGACAGCGGGGAAACATTGTACTGAACTGTCCACTTGTTAATCTCTTCGAGAAACTGCTTGGTAGCCTGTTTGACAAAGAAAGAAAGAATAATTAGTAAGAAGAGAATATATTTATGGAGTCAAAAAACAAACAAGTAAAAACTATCATCCCTTCCCCAAGCAAGTCTGAACCAGTTTGCTACAGGGAGCAGGGAAAGACAAACAAAAAGGTAAAAACAGGTCTGAAACTGAAATAGTTAAAATTTGTATAATTCAGTGAAGCCAGAAGCCAGATCTAGGTTCAGAGAACAGGACTTAGCACAGGTATGCATGAAAAAATGAGAGGGGAGAAGAGCTATCCTGAATGAAATGCAAATTACTGGTCCCAAAGCAAAAAAAAAAAAAAGCTGGGAGGCCACATTTTGGGAGGTGGAAGCAGGAGGATCACTTGAGGTCAGGAGTTCAAGACCAGCCTGACCAACATGGTGAAACTCCATCTCTACTAAAAACACAAAACTAGCCAGACGTGGTGGTGCACGCCTGTAGTCTCAGCTACTTGGGAGGCTGAGGTAGGAGAACTGCTTAAACCCAAGAGGCAGAGGTTGCAGTGAGCTGAGATCACACCATTGTACTCCAGCCTGGGCAACAAGAGCAAAACTGTCTCAAAAAAAAAAAAAAGAAAAAGAAAAAAAAAAGAAAAGTGGCCAGGCCTTCCAAAGGATTATTGCCTAATACACAGTGTAGTATAGCAGTCTCAGCTGCTGCTTTGGTCCCACAAGCCAATTGGACACAGCAAAAGAATCAGAAAATGGTTTTGGCTTTGGAATTTGAAACCAATAAAACTATTAAGAAGAATTTAACAAATCAAAAGAGCAGCTATTCTTTGTGCTGACTGACCCCACTGCACCTTTTCATGCTTTACATGGCAACCCCAAAACTGGATACTAGTATCCACAGTCAGTAATAGCCCCTCTGGATAGTGGTTTTGGAAAGGGGAGGAAATTTTTCATTTTTACTGTCTGAGCCAGGCTGGCAAGATGCCTGCTTCCAGAACTGTTTCTATCTCTCAACTAATTCATGTTCATTTATGTACTCTCACCCTATTTCTCCTTACATTATAACCAATTTCCTTTTTAGACAAACTACTTTTCTCTTTCTTCATTTTAGAATGATTTAAATTGGGATTTTTATTTTTTTCTTTTTGTGAGACAGGGTCTCACTCTGTGACCCAGGCTGGAATGTAGTGGCACAATCTTGGCTCACTGCAGCTTCAACCTCCTGGGCTCAAACAATCCTCCTGCCTCAGCCTCTCGAGTAGCTGGGACTATAGCCATTGCATGTGTCACCATACCCAGTAATTTCTTTGTTATTTTTAGTAGAGACAAGGTCTCACTACATAGCCCAGGATTGGTCTCAAACTCTGGGGCTCAAGAGATCCTCTCACTATCCCTCTCAAAGTGCTGGGATTACAGACATGAGCTGCTGCCCTCAGCAATTTTTTTTTTTTTTTTTTTTTTTTTTTGAGACAATGTCTCACTCTGTCACCCAGCAGACTGGAGTGCAGTGGCACAATCACTGCTCATTGCAGCCTTAAACTCCTGGGCTCAAGGGATCCTCCTGTCTCCGCCTTCTGAGTAGCTGTGACTACAGGTGCATACCACCACACCTGGGTAATTTTTTTGACTTTTTTGTAGAGACAAGGACTCCCTTTGTTGGCCAGGCTGGTCTTGAACTCCAGTGCTCAAGTGATCATTCCATCTTGCGTTCCCAAAGTGCTGGGATTGCAGCTGTGAGCTAAATTGGGATCTTTTTTTTCCCTTTTTTTTAGACAGTCTTGCTCTGTCGCCCAGGCTGGAGTGCAGTGGCGCGATCTTGGCTCACTGCAACATCTGCCTCCTGGGTTCAAGTGATTCTTCTGCCTCAGCCTCCTAAGTAGCTGGGACTACAGGCGCACACCACCACGCCCAGCTAACTTTTGTATTTTCAGTAGAGACAAGGTTTCACCATATTGGCCAGGCTGGTCTCCAACTCCTCACCTCATGATCCGTCCACCTCAGCCTCCCAAAGTGCTGGGATTACAGGTGTGAGCCACCATGCCCAGTCAGGAATAATTTTTTTGTAGGCATTCTACACTACTAAAAGCTTCATGCACAGCTATTCTGTCCCTTCCATCCAGAAACTTTTCTCAGCTGTTTGTCTACAATATGATGAATCTGATGAGAATTCTGAATTTTAACCATACTTCTATTCCCAATCAACCCACAGTTATGAGTTATTTATTCATATTTAATAAGCACCTGTTATTTGTGTTTTTTGGGGGTTTTTTTTGTTTGTTTTTTGAGATAGAGTGTCACTCTATCTCCCAGGCTGTATGTAGTGCAGTTGCCCGAGCTCAGCTCACCACAACCTCTGCCTCCCAGGTTCGAGCAATTCTCCTGCCTCAGCCTTCCGAGTACTACGCCCAGCTAATTTTTTGTATTTTTAGTAAATATGGGGTTTCACCATATTAGCCAGGCTGTTCGCGAACTCCTGACCTTGTGATCCGCCCGCCATGGCCTCCCAAAGTGCTAGGATTACAGGTGTGAGCCACCATGCCTGGCCATAAGCACCTGTTATTTGTTAAGCTAATACTTACACTGAGAGGTATAAGGAATACAAAAATGAGGTTTGCTTCAAAAGGTATAAAACTAGCTTACCATGTGACCATGGACAAGGTAATTCTGTCTTTGCTAATTTTTCAATTGAAAAATAAAGGGAGGGCTGGGCATGGTGGCTCACAACTATAATCCCAGCACTTTGGGATGCCAAGGTGGGTGTATCATTTGAGGTCAGGAATTCAAGACCAGCCTGGCCAACATGGTGAAACCCTGTCTCTACTCAAAATACAAAAATCAGCCAGGTATGGTGGCGCATGTCTGTAATCCCAGCTACTCGGGAGGATGAGGTAGGAAAATTGCTTGAACCCAGGATGTGGAGGTTACAGTAGCCAAGATCGTGCCATTGCACTCCAGCCTGGGTGACAGAGCGAGACTCTGTTTCAAAGAAAAAAAATGGCTGGGTGCGGTGGCTCATGCCTGTAATCCCAGCACTTTGGGAGGCTGAGGAGGGTGGATCACGAGGTCAGGAATTCGAGATCAGCCCGGCCAATATGGTGAAACCCTGTCTCTACTAAAAATACAAAACTTAGCTGGGCGTGGTGGCATGCGCCTGTACTCCCAGCTACTCAGGAGGCTGAGGCAGAAGAATCGCTTGAACTCAGGAGGCGGGGTTGTAGTGAGCCAAGATCGTGCCATTGCACTTCAGCCTGGGCGACACAGCGAGACTCCACCTCAAAAAAAAAAAAAAAAAAAAGAAAAAGAAAGGGAGGGCTGGGTGCGGTGGCTCACACCTGTAATCCTAGCACTTTGGGAGGCCAAGGCAGGAAGATCACTTGAGGCTAATTCTAGCCTGGCCAACACAGTGAGACCCTGTCTCTAGAAAAAAAAATTTTACTTATATATATATATATATAGATAGAAAAGAAAAATAAAGAGAAAAAGCATAATAGCAATGACCTACTTCGGAGTCTTGGCAACAAGTCCTACCTTGCAAATACAATCCAAATTGCTACACACTGGTTAAACAACTGGCAAACTAAAATCCCAGGAGAGTCAGCAATACCTCATAACAGAGCATCTGATTCATCCTCCAATTTCTAGGAAAGGACAAAAGTACTTGGGGAAAGTCTAAACGGCCTGAGGCTGCACCTGAGCTTTACAGCCTTACAATTAAGACAACATAGCTTAAACCATTGGAGAAGGAAAGCACCAGCAAAACCAATCAGGCAAAGCGCATGAAAAGAGCCAAGAAATAAAGGCCATGAAGAAAAGTTTTCAGAAGATCATTTTGGCCTGGAACCAGCTGAAGCCACGCCAGAGAAAATAGTTTGACTTGCCTCTGTGGAGTGAGTGGCCAGCATCAGAATGAGGAAAGATGGAAGGAAAAAGAAGTGAGCACAGAAAGATCCCAGAAATAAAACTCTAGCCAGTCAGTAAATTCCCCAGGAGACTTGGTACCTGTTTGTTTGTTTTTTTGAGACGGAGTCTCACTCTATTGCCCAGGCTGGAGTGCAGTGGCGCAATCTTGGCTCACTGCAAGCTCCGCCTCACCAGTTCATGCCATTCTCCTGCCTCACGAACTCCTGACCTCGTGATCCGCCCACCTCAGCCTCCCAAAGTGCTGGGATTACAGGTGTGAACCACCGCGCCGGGCTGAGACATGGTAACTGATTTTTAATTAACCTATTATATTTTAAATCCAGTTCTCTAGTGGGCCTCTCTGATGTTGCTTATAGAATAAAACACCAGAATAATAGAACATATTTTTCCTGCTACTTAGCTGGGTATACAATTTCTAATGAGAAATAATCAACAGATAAATCAATGTATAAGTAGAATCAGAAAATCTAAATGACCAAGAGGTGATATGAACTCATCACATATCCATCTGTTAAGATAACTTTTCATTTTTTGGCCGGGCACAGTGGCTCACGCCTGTAATCCTAGCACTTTGGGAGGCCAAGGCGAGCAGATCACGAGGTCAGGAGTTCGAGACCAGCCTGGCCAACATAGTGAAACCCTGCCTCTACTAAAAATACAAAAAATTAACAGGGTGTGGTGGCAGGTGCCTGTAATCCCAGCTACTTGGGAGGCTGAGGCAGGAGAATAGCTTGAACCTAGGAGGCGGAGGTTGCAGTGATCCAAGATTGTGCCACTGCACTCCAGCCTAGGAGACAGTATGAGACTGTCTCAAAAAAAAAAAGATCTTTTCATTTTTCATAAATAAACCATGTCCTAATAAGAGAAAGGCACACAGGTTTCACACACTTCCTTCAAAGTACATCTTGCCTTCCTTTTTATTAAGCTCAGTTACTCCAAGTTTCTTAGTGTTCTGTAGCTCCCAAGAGCTGTTGCCTTGAGCTGACCTCTGTCCCCCTGCTGGTCAGGATGTTATTCTTGGCCTTAAGCACAGGAACAGTTCCTCCTGGTTTGGTCTGACCAGGCCTTGCATGTAGAGAGTCCAGTGTACTGTAAACAGTGATGTGATA